AACATGGGGATATTAAAACATACCTGAAGTTTGACCAGCATGAGCTGATCAGTTATCAGTACAGGTGGTCATTAAAGCTGTTGTCCTGCAGCCGCATTAAAAAGCAATGCAGCTTTTAATAAATATTAGGGCATGTCAGTAGCACAATTTAAATGTGGGAAAGAGATCAATTTCCTTTCTAATTCTGTGCACAGGCATAAACACTCTCTTTAGAACACTTAATTCCATGTCAGAGTTTAAAGCAGCTATGATGGTTTCTGTTTAGAAGTAAAGACAGAGAGTGGGATGGGGAATAAATGTCAGACAATTGGTGTATCAAGAAGAAACTAACCTTACATACTCAATATTATTAACAAAAGGAACCCACAAACTAGTGATCATTTCCAGGGCTTCCTCTGCGCCCCCCCCCCCCCCCTTTTTTTTTTCAATAACCTTCTTTCAGTGGCTGCTGTTTTCCTTTTTTGTTTTTTGAGAGATGAAGTCTTGCTGTGTTGCCCAGGCTGATCTCTAATTCCTGGGCTCAAGCAATCCTCTTGCCTCAACCTCTTGGGACTACAGGTGTGAGCCACCATGCCTGACTGGTTTCCTTTTAGACCCTCTTTTCTATGTGTTCTCACTTTCCCTTCTAGCCGCTCCCTCAACAGGAAGGAGGAAGCAAGTGGTAATTAAGAGCCAAGCAGGGCAGTGGGCAGCAAAGTCATGCCAAGGAGAAATCAGGTAGAATGCTCAGAGGAGATGGTTCCAGGGTCAGGGTAGGGGCTTGTGCAGAAGGCACTTGGCATCTCGCTTTTTTCCTTTCTCTCTGTTTGATTCTGTCTGTGCCTCTTTCTTTACTTATGTCTGTCCCTTTCTGAGTTATTCCCCATGATTCTCTCTTCATATACCTCTGGTCTCTCTTTCTCTCTCCTCTTCCTCTCTCTGCTGTGTGACAGATTTCCATCTGGTCACAGTGCTTTTCCATTTCTCATCACTGTCCTATGCCTAAGCTTCATATTCGAATATGAGAATGCCTTCAAAAACTGCTTGGTTCTGAGCATGCCTAATACACTTAATAATTAAGGCTGTAATTAAAGTGTAACAGCAAGCATAATTAAAATTCACTTTTGTGGATCCTGGAATTACGAAGCAAATAGGCATTTTAACATGGCATGAAGGAGCAGCTGGGAGGAGAGAGGAGCCATGGTTTTCTGAGGAGCTGCTCCCTCCCCTTTCTTTACTGACCCTGCCCACCGGTGTTAGCCTCAAGCAAGGCCTCACCTGCCCAGGGCCCCTGGAGCTGTGGGCTGGGAGGAATGGCAGCAGCTTAGAGTCTTCACTCAGGGGCAGTGAACACTAGAGAAAGGGGCCACTCAAAAGCCTCTGGAAAACCCTGAGAGGACACAGAACCAATCACTTCTCACCAGGTTGCTATCACAGTGTCTGTCAGCCATCGCTTCTCATAGGTTGTCAGACTGAGGACCTCAGTTTCTTACTGGCTGTTGGCCAGAGGCTGTCTTCAGTTTCTTGCCATGGGGTTTCTCCATAGGGCAGCTCCCAACACATCCATTTGCTTCATCAGAGTAAACAAGCGAAGTCAAAGGGAGCAAGACAGAAGCCACCGGCTTTTGTAACCTAGTCTCAGAAGTGACATGCCATCACTTTTGTCATATACTTTATTCATTACAAGCAAGGCCCTGGGTCTAGGCCACACTCAAGGGGGGCAAGGATTATACAAGGATGTGAACACCAGGAGGCAGAATTGATTGAGAGCCATTTTAGAAGCCGCCTTCCACAACATTTACAGAGCCATGTGCTGGTCAAGGTAATACTAGCGCCTGTGACAACAGAGATGCTGAAATGTCAGGGACTTAACATTATAGAAGGTCCTTTCTCATTCACATACGGTTTGTGAAGGTGAGTGGCAGGGCACTCTACACCACATATCCAAGTATCCAGTCTGAAGGCGTCATTACCATCTTCAAAAAGATACCTTCCTGGGTTACCTAGGCTGGCAACTTCCAGAAGGCGGGTAGGGAAAACAGAGAATATGATGGAGATTTTTATGGGTATGTATTTCATATCCACTCACATTCCATTGGCCCGAAATTAAGTCATATGACCCTCCTCAATCAAGGGGGTCTCAGAAATGTAGTTTCTGGCTGGGCAGCTACTTTCCAGCAGTAGCACTCCACTATAGAAGAGGAGCTGGAAGGTGTGGTAGACAGCCAACTAGGTCTGCCACAGATGCTTTCCCTTTTGCCAAATGTTTTTACACATATTATTTTATTTGCTTCTCATCACATCTATGCTCTCATCTATACTGTCCTCATTTTACACATAGACCAGCATAGCTTCGAGGTTTGTAATGACAGAGAGTAGTTCAAGTCCCATCCCTGCCATTTATCATCTCTGTGGCCATGGAAAAGTTATGTAGCCTCTCTGTGCCTTGGACGCCTTATCTGTAAAATAGGGAACAAAAGAATCTACTCACAGTTTTTGTAAAGATTTCATATGCTGGTAAGTTACTTAGCATCATGCCTGGCATACATAAGCATTAATGAATACTAGTTTTGGGGAAGATGATGAGGGTGATAAGGCTATGTATGGAGATGGAGATGAAGTTCAGAAGAGTTGAATGATTTACTGAAAATTGTATCCAATAAAGTCCCCTATATACAAACAAGTTCCATTCTGAGAATGCATTCGTAAGCCCAATTTGTAAGTCGTACAAAGTTAGCCTAGGAACCCAACTAACACAATCAGCTATATAGTACTATATTGTTATAGGTTTATAATACTTCACGTACAAATATTATGTAAAAAACAAACATAAAAAATTAAAAAAAAACATTTTTAGTCTTACAATGCAGTACCTTGAAAAGTATGCCAGACGCATGAACTAACTTATGTGATTGGACATGTGAACACATGTTCACATCTTTCAACAATCATGACTTGAAGGTTCGTATGTTGGAGACTTACTATAATGAATACAAGGCAGAGCCAGGATGAGAGAGTGGAGATTTTAGGTAGCAACTTTTCCCTTCCTTTCAGGTTGTTACTTTCCCAAGTGGCCTTTCCTCCTGTGTAAAGCAGTAATAAGTGAGCCTTAAGTCAAGGACTCAGTGCCAGGTGTTCCCATTGCTGCTGCTTTCAGGGACCCTGGGTCCTAGGAGTATCAGCGCTTCATCTCTTTTTAATCCAACCGTTCCCATTTAACCTGGCCTCTGCCTTTTTATATGAGACATGCTGACCCGGTGCCTCTTTTTTATTTGCCCTCTTTATGGTAAGGTAGCTTCTCCAAGGCCTGTATTTCAGTCTTTGTTTATAAATAGCCTCTGTCTTGCTAATGAGATAAAAGCAAAGGAAATGATGTAAAACAAGATATTTTACTAGATGCTTACATTCTATCACATTTCTCCTAAAGGAGTTGTTCACTCTGAAAGAGCAGAAAAGCAGTTGGCATGTTAAATGTTCAGTCCCCAAAGCACATTGGAAGAGGTGGGCTGGCCCACAAATACTCCAGATCCATCAGGCAGCCAAGAGATGCCATCAGGGGCTGCACTGCTCGTTTTCAAAGCCTCAGCCCTTTTCCTTCTGCAGAGTGCAGAGAAAGCAGAAGTGGATACTTTAGATGCTGCTCGAGTCTCCAAAGCCGTGGATTTGTGGGCATAGGTATGCAGATTCTCAGACCTTCAGATCTCAGATCAGATCACAACTCGGACTCCTGCCTTGCAGGAGGTCTTTAAAACCGGTGACTTATGGTAATAGCTGAAACCACATTAAATCCGCTTGGCTATGGGTCATCAGCAGACATTTCAGCTTCTAGCAGTACAAATTGTTATTTCCCTAGTTGAAGTCCTTGCTTTCATCTTCATTTCTTGTTGTATCACAGCTTGAGATAGACCTTGTCATATAATCTTTCCTGTCAATGACATTGATTAGAAACTATATTTAATTCATTTCCTGGTGAAAAACTATAGGTAGATTGGTTCCATGTGTCCTCACGTATTATGCCAGTATAGACGGTCTGCAACTTACAATGGCTTGACTTATGATTTTTCCACTCTACAGTGGTATAAAAGCAATATATGTCCAGGAGAACATCAGTGAAAAACTAGATGAGATACTCAACACTTTATTGTAAAATAGACTTTGTATGATTTTGCCCAACTGTAGGCTAATATAATGTTCTGAGCATGCTTAAAGTAGGCGAGGCTAAACTATAATATTCTGTAGGTTAGGGGTATTAAATGGATTTTCGACTTGGGATATTTTCAGATTATGATGGGTTCATCAGGACATAACCCCATCAAAAGTAGAGGAGCATCTGTATTCCATACCATCCCAATACCCTGATTTGCCATTTTCCTGCTCATTTTATCCACAAGACTTTTTCTTTCAATTTTTACTCAGACTTTTCAATCAAGGGACAAATCCAGTTCAGATTTTCCCCTTCAAACTAGTTGAACAAGTGGTTGTTAATCTTTCCTTGAACACAGTTTTTTTTTGGGGGGGTGGGGGTCGGAGTCTCACTCTGTTGTCCAGGCTGGAGTGCAGCGGCACGCTCACGGCCACCACAGCCTTGACCTGCTGGGCTTAGGTGATTCTCCCACCTCAACATTCCAAGTAACTGGCTATAGACACACGCCACCACACCCATCTAATGTTTGTGATTTATTGTAGAGACAAGGTCTCACCAAGTTGCCAGGCTATTCTCTTGAACACAGTTTTAAGGAAAACTCATTTCCATTTTTAAAAAAATGCCTGAGAAAATATAGGCAGTATCTTTATATTGACAGATAACTGAAGTTAATAAACAAAAATAAATAAATTTGTCATCTGGGATTGTCTGACCAGCCAGATTTGTATTAAAAAAAAAAAAAAAAAGCTAAAGCTGTATTGTCATTAAATTGTGTTGGTGTCAGGTGAGACCCAGGCATCTGGGATTTCAGGTTGTTCACAGCTTCACGGGTACCACCTCGTTTCACTTGATGCTTGTTCATCCTTCCCCCTTCTAGGAACCAATGTTCAAGAGGCTCAGAACATACTCGACAACAGCGGACTCCCCATCATGTCAGCTGTCAACCTGGAGGATGCAGCCAAGAAAGCTGTGGCTAGCGTGGCCAAGAAGTGATGTCCTCGTCCTATCTCTTGGGGAAGGAAGGCCATTTTTCCATAAAAAAAGAAATGGTTCTCTCATCACTGTGAAGGAAGTGGTTATCTCACTGGGAAAAAATGGGGGAAGGCATGAGTAAGAATCACCGTCTGAAAAACCGTAAATCTGTATTTTCTGGAATAAGATATTTAGACAGCCTAAATCTGATTTTGCTTAAAGGCTTTATAAAAATAATGTCTCATACTTTGTGTTCTTATACTGTTCTATCACAGTAAGCCTGCTCAGTAGGCAGTGTTTTGCCAACTCTGGAGAGTAGTCTCTGTGGCCAAATAATGTGCATATATACAGAATTTAAAATGAGGCCCTGGTTCATTTACAAGAATTTTGGTGGACATCTAATCTGATAAAAATATCACAGGCCATATAAAACTCAGACAAGAATACGTTTAGCATATTAACTACCAAAAAGTCATAGCTAAGACATTCAAGCAAATAGCTATTACTACACATGCAGCAGTTTTCATAAGTTTTTAATTCCATCCTATGTTTGGAAAATCCATGAATTTTCCAAAATACATTTTTATAATGGAAGATCCACATTAATATACCATACATGTATTTTACCGCTTGCCTTAATATTGAATAAACTGTTTACCTCACCCTAAGAAGAAAGCCAGAAGCCTTATTTGTGATTTTGGAGTAGACGCTTCCATTTTAATGCCAAAACTGAAGAATGCTGATTCTTACGGTAATCTCAGTAATTAAGTCATTTCAAGATGAGACAGCACTGAAGATCAAATTATGTTGCCTGTCAGTATCTCCTCTCCTCTCTCCTTTTTCCCTTACCACTCATCTTCTAGAATCTACCAGTTTGTGGTAGAAAGATGGGAAATGTAATTGAAAGGAGTGTGGCTTTTATTCCATAATGTCCATTTTTTGTGTGTGTGTGGGAACTAATTTGGATTAGATTTTTGTTTAAATTTTGATAAGTTTTTATCTGTATACAAATTTAAATAAAATTCTGTTTTGTAAGCTATACGATCTGTGTATATTTATCATTTTGGTTAATTTTATACCTCAAGCAAATTTTCTTTTACTAAGACACTAGCATTAATGTCTCAGGCATATTTCTACAATTAGAAAATTTGGATTGTCCCTGAATTATTCCAGTTACACTCAACTTTCAGATACCCTTTTCTATATACAAACATGAACCCCAGGAACTTATCTCAGATGTTGGAAACGTTACAGTGTGATGTCAGTCTGCATAAAGCTGAAGGAAGTACACTGATAGAACCGCCTCCCATCTAACGAGGCTCATTGCACCATTAATTTTCCTTTCAGTGTACCCATGTGTAGCAGAGCAAACTTTTTTGTTTGTTTTGAGTTAGAGTCTCACTCCGTCACCCATGTTGCAGTGCTGTGACACACTCGACCTGCTGGGCTCTGGCAATCCTTCCACCTCAGCCTTCCAAGTAGCCAGAATTACAGGCATGCGCTACCATGCCCAGCTTTTAAAAAATTTTTATTGTAGAGATGAGGTCTCACCAAGTTGCCCAGACTGGTCTCGAACACATGGGCTCAGGCAATTCACTCTCCTTGGCCTCCCAAAGTACTGAGATTACAATCTGAGCACCGAGCCTGGCCTTGCTTGTTTTTTTACCGCTTACATTGTTCTCATAAATTTCACAAGTGGACAAAAGTTAAGAATCAATACTGTGCAGCTCTATATTTGCCGGGAAGAAATGAACCGTTTGATATAGTCTTCTACCCTTTCTTAATGACTGTGCAATGAATGAATGAAAAATATTAGTAATGTCTTTTTAGGTGTGTTTTGTTTTCTGACAGCTTCATAATTGGTTGGTACAATAAAAGGAATAACCTATATTTTGCCAAATAGGCAACAATAAGCATTTTGAATTTTTTGCTCTCTGCAAAGGCCTGTGTTCAAATCACTTATATAAATGTTGGTTTTTCTAATCAACTCCAGCGTGGAGGAGGGAATTAAATTATTCATGTGATTATTTTGTAACAGGATTAATAACAAGCAAAGAGCCTCTTATTTTCAAATAAGTTTAAATCTGTCAAAACTTGATCTTTTTGCATCTTGGCCCAGCTTGTCTCTGTTGGTTTTATTCTCAGGCTGGTCATTTCTACAAATTGACAACATGGCTGCTGGCCGTTTGCTGTACAGGTTCTCACACTTAGCATCCCCAGAACAGATGAGAAGAGAGGAAGAGAAAAAGAAAAGGAATGAGAGAGTGAGTAAGGGTGGGAGAAAAGAGAAAGGAAAGAAAGCAGCTCATCTCTCTTGTTACTTCTAAGACACATCCCAGAATTGAGTCTTGAGGACTCTGATGATCAATGTCAGATCAGTAACCTACCCCTGAATCAGGTTCTGATTCATTTATGAGAATTTTGGTTGCCATCTAATCTTATATAATAAAAACAATTATAGTCCCTAGGCAGGCATGGTGGCTCATGCCTGTAATTCCAGCACTTTGGGAGACAGAGGTGAGAGGATTGCCTGAGCCCAGGGGTTTGAGACCAGTCTAAGTAACTTGACAAGACCTCATCTCTACAATAAATCAAAAATTAACCAGGCGTAGTGGCATGTACCAAGTAGTTCCAGCTACTTGGAAGGCTGAGGCAGAAGGATCGCCTGAGCCTAGCAGGTCAAGACTGCAGTGAATGTGCCTCTGTACTACAACCTGGGTGACAGAATGAGACTCTGACAAAAATAAATATATTTACATACACACACACACACAAATATAAATGTAGGCCATAAAAAATTCAGAGACGGTTACATTTAACATTAACTACCAAAAAGGCGTAGCTGAGACACTCAAGCACATAGTTATTGCATGTTTTTACAAGTTTCGACTTATAACATGTTTGGAAAATCAGTTAGTCCAAAATGTCTCTTACAGTAGCAGGTCTGCATTAATATACCATACATGTATTTTACCACTGGCTTTTATATTGAGTATACTATTTTCCTCACACTAAGAAGATAGTCAGAAACCTTCTTTGTGATTTTGGAGAAGTTTCCATTTTAACGTCAAAACTGAAGAATGTTAGCCAGAACTTTACAGTGCTATGTTGAATCCAACTTGGGGTAAATACCCCCACTCTTGGGCCGGAGGGAGTGGCTATCCTCACCCAAATTACTGAAAGTGAAAGTAAGAGAGGGTGGGGAAGTTACATAAGGAAAAGTGGACCACTAACATAAAGAAACTATTCTGGGAAGGAAAGACAAGAGATGTCAATCACATTTATCAACTAAGGAGTGATAAGGTTAAACAAAATTATTTCTAAGGGCATTTTCAATCCTAAAATTTATTTTATTTTATTCTATTAATTTCTCACTAGTTCTTTGGAGTCCATTTTCACTCACACATACAAGTTATCAGGTTTGGTTTAGATGCTGTTTGCATCATCTAAAATTCTGGCCTTACTTTGTCTTGTAATGTCCACATAAGAAATAATGGCCAGGCAACCCCCTCAGGTTCCCTCCCACTGTGGGAGCTTTTCTGTCCTCTTAATAAATTCTGCTTTCTAAAAAAAAGAAAAAGAAATAATGGCCTTGAGGCACCTAGCTCAATTGTGGTTTCTGTTTATGTTGTAATTCAATTCATTAATTAGTAAACTAGCCAAGAAACTTTTTAAATGGCCTGACTAGATCTACAAATCATTTTTAATTCTTGCTTTTATATTTTAGATCTATGTCCCTCTCTCTCAATTTACTCTCTGAGATAAAATAAATTATCATTCTGAAGAATTATATTGTTTTTTAAATTCAAAGCCTTAATAAAAATGAGAAGAAAAATCATTTTTTGAAATTTCTAAAGTAAGCATTTGAATGTTTAACTGTGTAAGATACACTCTATATTCAAAAATAAAATAAGTGAGAAAACATATATAATAGTGGTTTAAAAAACAATGTGGGGAAAAGTGGAAAGAGTATGGTTTTGTATATCCTTCTAGACCTGGAGGTGGCAAACTAAGGTCTGAGCAAGGGTCTATTTCCGAAAGTTAAGTTTTATTGGAACACAGCCACACCCACTTATGTATATATTGTCTGTGGCTACTTTCATGCTACAACAGCAGAGTTGAATAGTTGTGATAGAAACCTTATAGCCCTAAAGTATTTCCTGTTTGGCCCTTTACAGAAAATGTTTGCCAACCCTTGCTCTAGATAAATAAACAAAAATACAACATTGCCCCCAAAAATGACAGCAATGGATTATAGTTTTCAATCCTCCTCAGGTTTCTCAATGTACATTTTAGTGTTAAAGTGAAACAAATGGAAAAGTAGAAAAATATGATCTTTGATTTTTCCATTATGAACCCTGTGAGAACTACAAAATTCTACAAAAGGCCACTTGTCAATGAAAACCTATCCAGTTATATTACTTTGTATCTTTCCATCACCACAAGAACTGTCTGCAATAGCTCCTTGCGCTTTTGAACGTAATGCTGTTCTTAACTATTTGCAAATGTGTTGGAATAACCTCAACTCGTGGCTCTGACTATTAAACGGCAAAAGGGCTGTACCTATGAACTCATCCGCAAAGGGATCCTCACTAGCGACAGTGTTTTGTGCTGTGTGGTCTTAGGGTTCTGGGAAGATAATGAGTAAGCAGACAAAAGTGACCACATTACTGCAAAGGCATTCCATTTTACCAGTGAGGAAATTGTGGTGTAGTGAGTTAAAGGTGCTCCCAAGTTTCATGGTTAGTGGCAAAAATTTAGGCGTCTGAATTTTTGGTTCTTGCATAATTCTATCATTTGTTCTATTGTCCAAGGGAACTTTCTGTGATGATGGCAATGGTAAATATCAGTGTTGTCATTAACCACATGTAACTATTGAGCACTGGGAACTGAATTTTAACGTCTGTTTAATTTCAATTAATTAACAGTCACACATGGATGTCTACCATACTAGACAGTGCCCCTCTCTAGTCTAAATCTAGTGAGTATTAGGATGCATTACTTTCACTTCAGAGAGGATCACATTGATTAAGTGCTTACTGTGTGCCAGGATCTTCGCCTACATTACTTTTGTTAATCCTCTTAGCCACTCTGTGAATCTATCATTTCTATTTTACTGGTAAGAACATTATAATTCAAAGAAGTGAAGTAATATCACCAAGAGCACGCAACTAGTATGTGGCTAAAGGATCAAACCTCTGGTTTTCTGAGTCAAAAGCCACTGGTCTTTGTTTTATTCCTGTGAGGACCCAAATTCACTATGGTCGTGCCACTTACAGTCATGGTAACTTAAAAGAAGGTTAGAGACAAAGACATTTAGCAAGCTAGGTTGTTGAATGTGTTGCCCGTTTAAGTGTTTCCCCATACTTTGGGAAGCAGGAGTTAAAAGCCAAAGATCACCATATG